AGTATAGTGGTATAGTTTATTATTGTTTTAATTGGAATACACTATGTCAAATTCTTTGCACCCTTTTTAGTGGTTGATAGCTAATAAACTGAACTAGTCAAAAGTTGGCTAAGTCATTACTTTCAGATATTGTGGGCCTTGTTTTATCAACAAAAAAAAACATAATGTTCATTCCACCTCCCCACCAAAGTCATTTTCATACAGTCCCGACACATTTGTATTTCCAGTATCAGTTTGTGTTTCTAACTTTGAAACTTTAATGTTTTTAGGGTGGCCCAGAATGAGCAATTCAACCTAATGAATGCAGAGAACCTCGCCATCATTTTCGGACCCACCCTCATGCGTGTACCTAACCTTGACGCCATGACAGCACTCAATGACATCCGCTACCAGAGACAGGTGGTGGAGCTGCTCATTAAAAAGGAAGATGTGCTCTTCTGAAAATGGATCAGGACTTTTATAGAACAGCTATCTAAACATTATTCTGTGTAAAGACTTGAATGACTGTTTGTATTACATTGATTGATACATTTTTTTTAAATGCCCTGCGTATGGACTAATGTTGACCTAACATCTGTCCTTCCCTGTTTCGGGGTTGGAAGATGAACTTAACACTTGCACGTACTCTATGTCTCCCCATTTTTGTCGGGGGATTTTCAGAAGCTGACAGGCCGGCATGCATGGTGCAAGGTCTTTGTTGCTTTGTAGTCGTAACCCAGCATGTGTTAAGATCGTGTAGCGCTGTGATTTTGCTTTTGTCTGGTCTGTAGTAGTTATAGCCCACATTCTCAGCTCCCTTTTGTTAAACATTGTATAGCTGGATTTAAAAATAAGCTACTGATATTTCCGGGTTAATTTCTATGATGCTGTATTTTTGTATCTCCTCAACTGTTTTAATGAGTAGTTGAATGAGCCTTTCCTGTTGATGTGTAGACACTGGTGCATTAGCCTGACCTGAACATTTCTATTGTGTTAAAAACAGCATTATTTGTGAATTTAATTTTGTATTGTAATGTTTTTGTACACAAATTGTGCATGATCACTTTAATTTATTAAACCTTACTCTGAGAAATGAAGAGCTTAATGAGTCTGACTTGCCATAATAAAGATCTGAAAGGGAAAAAAATGTATACCTACGTTGATACGGCTAACTTATTAGCAAACTGCTTTTTTCTATTTATAGATTCTGCAGACAAGGCAACATTATCGTTCACTTAAAGTTTTTCTTTCTGGCATAATATCTCTATCTTTAACCTGTAAATTATCCACCATACTCACCAGCTAGTTGCCAACTGCATCTCAATTGGCCTGTTTTCCAAAACACCTCAATACACAGAGCAACATAACAAAAATACTCTGACCTACAAAAGCAGTAAGGCGCCTTGTCTTCCTATCTGAGTGCAGCAGATAATAAAAGGGAAAGCAAAAATTAAAGGGAAGGACAAACACATTTTGTTGATTTTTATGTAGGCAATATATATAAAAAACATAATTACAGCAACAGTATCCTTAAAAAGACTTTACATATAATGTTGTTTCAAATATTATATATAAATAGTGAAGAACTTACTTTGTGGCTGCAAGATTACCCTGACAGGAAGGACTGACAGTTCTTCATTCTGCACATTCAGGATGACAGGTTCTGCCTAAAAGCCACATGTCATGTGACTTTTGAAAAAGCCCCCTAACAACACATCAGTCACACTGATTCACTTTGAGATTAAAACCAAACACGCAACACCTAAGGCAACACCAGTCGTGCACTCGAGAGACTGTTAATTACTGGATATATGTGCAAACAATGTCACATTAAATATATGCATTTTGTGTTTAAATACCCACAGGTTATGTATTTCCAAGCAATTTATATAAACCAGGCATGCACAGCCATCAATGGTTCATACATGAGCACTGTTTCAAACAGTTTAGGCTCTAATAGGATTGTGTCTTCATGCCACATTTCCTGTTAAATTATATATATCCTCCGTGGGCATATTAACCTTTAGGTTGATAATTATTGACGGATATAGAATCTGATGTAACCACAGCGTTTTTAACTCCATTTTGTCTATGTCTTCAAGTTCAGTTGTTGCCTTCGTTTAGGTTTTTGCGCTTTATATTTCCCCACAAAGCATCAGAGAAGCAATCACTGGTTGACATTTAATCACTCAGGTTTTGTGACCACATCACATTGAGTTAATGTGAGCCGAAATCCGACTTGTCTCTGGTGATAGTGTGGCAAAATTGGATTTTCATCCAACCGATTAGCCTCCCCCGCCATTATCAGCCATTTTAAAACATATCATACTTTCATCAACATCAGGCATTGACTGTGAAAGGGGGTAAACCGAACTTCCTACCCCTCAGTCAGATGCTGTGATAACACCAGGCTGGAGTAATGTCTGCCAAATGCATTGTGCGTGGATGTGCCTCATTCCCAGTAATGAGACTACATTTGAAAGGCTGCGATCCATGAGATAACTGACCTTTCTTTGTTGACTGGATCATGACGCTTACCTCCCTGCAAACTGATGACCTGAATACATTTTCAAGTGTTGAATTATAAAGAAATATTCAGTTTATCCATGTGAATTGTTGGAAATGGAAAAATGTATTCTGTCTTTATAATCATATCGTATATACATATATTTCACATAGAGCAATTTATATGTAATCATATTAACAATGTAAACATGAATGCTATTTCCTTGAGTTTTATATTCAATGTACATTAATATTTGTTTTACTTTTGAACAAAACAGCTGAAATACTATAAAACAGTGTTACAACATACTGTTTATTATACAAGATTGTCCATTGATTGTGAAGAAATATTATCAATGCAGTGCAATTTTTATATTTATGTTGGAACATCATGTAAAATATAGCACACATAATAATCTCTTCTATAAAAACTCTAACCCTCTTAATCTTCATCGAGGCATAAACATCCAGTATGTGGTCCAGTTTCGTCCACCCCCTGCAGATATTAAATGGGTGCTTTCATTCAGATTCAATGAACATTTAATCACCTATAGAGCAGATATAAACACACAGCTCACAGTCCTCTGGAGACTGTAAATGCCTTGTGAGCCTTCAAAGTGTTTTAATTACCACTGGACAGAGCTCCAGAGCGCCTGACTGCAGGTCCAGTGAGCAGACACAATGCTGGCCCGTCCCGTGTTACATACCTGAAGAAAGGCGAGGTGATGCTTACATGGTGTACATTCAGCTGGCCTGAGTGATTGGAGATAGAGAGGGGGTGGGTCGAGACAAATCTCTCTTAATTCAAGCATTGCCAAAATGGTCATTTGTCCTTAAGTGAGATGAATGAGGCGGCCGGTTGAGTGACTGGCTGATTGAACGGACTCGGGATGGGAGGAAATTGAGTTGCCTGACCCATCACGGACCGACAAGATGGGGTAGAGCAAAAGAGGAGAATACGGGGGTAACACCTGGCCCCCAGGACACAAACAAAGGCTGTTTGAGCATCTGAATTATCTTAGATTAAATGTTATTGATTGTTAGGGGCAGCTGGACATTAAGAGAATACTTTCTAAAACAAAGCTTCATCATCCACCTCTTCAATACACAACAAAACAACTAGAAGAGTATCAACAATGAGTGACAAAGACCTTTTAATGTTGTTGTAAGCAAAAAAGTCAAACCAACCATATTAGATATCACTAAAAAATATATATATATACAGATAGACCCGAAGAAACATTTCTTACCTTATTCTTATCTCACATTATCATTCACCTTAAATAAAGCTCTTATGAGTTCAATTATGTATATCTATTTGCCTGTCAACTTAGACTGTCAAGGTGGATAAAGGTTCAAAGAAACCTTAACATTAGATAAATCACAAACATGTATTCATACACATATCTTTCATTCAGTATTTTTTCAGAATGCATACAATTTCAAGAGATTCTGGTTTTTTCTCTACCCGACAAGCAATATTAAGAGGATTTGTTAAATGTAACCTACCAAAAGATAGCTTATTTAATTAACCATTACCCTTAAGAAACAAGTTCTTACATGCTGCAGAAGAAAGATCCCAAATCTGAGACACTGTAACCTCATGTAAATGTTGCCTGACCGAGCATTGCTCAAAGGTTCACGCTCCAAGCTTCACGCTTCAAGTTTAGTGTATTTATAGAGCATGTCTCAAAACAACAGAATTTGACATAAGCGTTGTACAGTGGTAAAAGAACAATACAACGTATACAAATAAGACATACGTGTTAAAAAACAATAACATAGATACAAGCTGAACAAATAAATAAATAAAAACATATGGGGCAACATTGAGGTGGACATAAGGATCGATTAGATCATTTCACGACAAGCTTCTTTCAGCTGTTCCTTGAGCCTTTTATTGCATTACATGATCTTTCTCAGCACATTGATATTGATCATGTAATTCAATGTAATGCAAAATGATAGTTTGAAAAGGCCCTAGTCAAAAGACCATTGTGTAAAATACTGTTTCCAAGGTCAAGCAGGAAATTGACAAAGCTTTATTTTAAGATCCCATGCTTCAAAATGCAAAAGATGTCACACGTCACCCAAACTTCGATTACCAAATAGAAGGCAAACACATACATACAGGTTACATATGGACATTCTAGTTGCTAAACATTATGCATCACCGGGGTACGGATTTAAAGTCTGTAATGAGAGTTTATCAATGGGGGTTCAAAGCAGCCATCATTTGCTGTGTCTCTTCTCACCTCGGGATGAGTGTGGCCAAGTTCAGGATGGGATATTTCAGTGGTGGATTACTCCGGCATGTTGATCTTGCCGATCACAAAGAATGTGGCCCTCTCAAATGACAAGCACTGGCAGCTAGTCACTCACATCCGCTGTCGGACAATAACAACACGTCTACCAGTGAAGAGCTCGGAGCGTATGCTGTGAGTTATATGCCAGTGCTGAAAGATGTTTTAGCTGTTTTAATACTGAAGTAGTCTGCGGGCTGCGTGCTGAAGTTGGATCTTGGTTATTGGTTGCCTGGTTTTATTGGCAACTATGAACTCTGTGTTATGCATTATTCCTCTAGTCATTCTAGCAGGTAAGAACTTACAAACTGAAGAGAATGTATGTTGTGGAAAAAAGTGCCTGTCTCCTTTGCTTGAATGACTTGTAGTGTTAAAGCATGATAAGGTTGGAGTCTATAAAACAATTACCAAGCCCTGTTTGCTTTCATTATGTTATTAAAACCAGTCTCATGTCAGTGAAAGCTGATCCAATTCAAACAACAACAAAAAATGAGCAAATGTTCAGTCAGTGCAAACCAGCTTTTGATTGACAAGGGCATGTGTGCTGTTCTCATTTTTGCGTTCCAACCATTTTTCTGTCAACACATGAAGTCACCTGCATAATTATGTTCATGTTCTTGAGTTTACCGAGTCGAAGCTCAGTAGAATCATTCAACCAATGCAAACATGTTGCTGTAAAATGACCTTCTTTTCAAGGTCAGCGGGAAAATGTAAGGGGATCCTACTCCGGCTTGTCACAGATATGCAGCAGTGAGAGTAAAAGAACATCTCTATTAACACACGTGCAGGGGTGATTGCATGTTTGAATGCAGACTTTTCTAATTTAGTCCTTAAATATATATGCATTCACAAATACATGCATTTACACAAGAGGCCAACAGGATTGCAATCATGTTCCTGAATACAATTCCCTAATGGTTTTCTCAAAGCCTTGAAAAACATTGAAAATAAATTAATAAATGAACATATGGACTTTTTTAACACACCAACATTTATGTTTTTAATGCCCAGCATGTTAAAAGTAGCTCCATTATAATAACAACATGCACATACAGTATGTTCACAAACACCTTACACCTATAGAATTACCCTGGGCACATCTATTTTAAACTCATATTAAATGAACCCAACATGTATCAGATGTTCTTAAAGAGATATTCTACTTTGGTTACTACTTAGTTTTCAAGCACAGTGAAGATCGCCTTCTACATGCCTTAAATGTACAAAACTGTGAAAAACAACATGCCTGTATGGTGTGTTTCTTATTCTAGGCACTGCCTTGGGCTCCGCTAATGAGACAATTCTAGTCCAAAAACTCTTTACTGGCTACAATAAGGTCGTCCGTCCTGTCAATCACTTCAAGGACCCGGTGATTGTGACTGTGGGCCTTCAGCTCATCCAGCTCATCAGTGTGGTGAGAGCTCTTGTCACACAACATATCAACCCATCTGTATACAATTAACCGTCACCAACTGTCTAAACACATTTATCTGGATTTACAGGATGAGGTCAACCAGATTGTCAGCAGCAACGTGCGAGTGAAGCAGGTTTGATACTTGGTTTATTGGTTTATTGGTGTTGTTGTGATTAAAGGAAGGCTTTGGATTCACCACATCACAGAAAGCCTCAATAATGTACCAATTCATATGAGTTTGAAAAGGATTGGGAAAAAATAAATCATCAAATAAAAAATGATAACTGTCCAAAATGTGAAATCCCTTCAACAAAAATGTATTAATATGTAAAAATAATTTATAACGATAATTGAATTTTCTTATTCTATTCAAAAAATTCTCTTATTTTTTTGTCAAAATGGATGGCATGTCTACGGAAGAGGATTAGGGCCACATTAAAAAAAAAATTGGGAGGATTTGAAAAACAAATGTTTTTGTTTTTTTCTGAGAAAAAAGTCAGAATTCTGACTTTTTTCTCAGAATTCTGACTTTATTCTCAGAATTCTGACTTTTTTCCTCAGAACAAAAAAACATAATTTTTTTTTGTCATTTATTTTTTCCAGCAATGGGAAGATGTAAACTTGAAGTGGAACCCGCAGGATTACGGCGGCATCAAAAAGATCAGAATTCCCTCCAAAGACATTTGGCGGCCTGATCTGGTGCTCTACAACAAGTATGTTCTCAGGCTATATTTGATACATGCCATGTCCCTCTTTCAGTTTTTCTTGAAACCTTTTTTGTAAAATGTTGATGTGCCCTAAAGCATCCACACCTCTAGAAACAATTAACACACCTTGGAGAGGTGCTTTTAATCACACGTTCCTATAGTCCAGTATTCAGCGTGTGATCTGGACTCTATATCAGCCCCCTCCCCCCTCCTCCCACCATATGCTGCGTCTGACAGGCTGCTTCTTTTCCCTGACAACCAGCTCCGCTGCCACAACAACTTGTGCCAAGCTGAGCTCTGGTTGGCTGTGGTGCGACCGCAGCACTAACCCATCCTCAGGCACTGATGTCCCTCTGTGTTAACATTTAACTTATTATCTCCCATGTTGATGCTGCCTGTTTGTGTCTGTGCCCGCAGTGCTGATGGAGACTTTGCCATCGTTCATGAGACCAAAGTGCTGCTGGAGCACACAGGAAAGATCACATGGAACCCGCCTGCCATCTTCAAGAGCTACTGTGAAATCATTGTGCTGCATTTCCCCTTTGACCTGCAGAACTGCACTATGAAGCTGGGGACCTGGACCTATGATGGAACCCTGGTTGTCGTCAATCCAGTAATTTAACTCATTCAACCCAATTTCTTTAGGGAACTGCACTTATTAGCTTTGTTGCCGAGAAGATTGATGGTGGTATCAATTTGTCTTTCTCCAACAATAAAAAGTCAATGTCAAAATAATATATCAGATCAAACACCTGTCCCCTTGAACAGCATCACTAATAACTCTGAGGCCCCTTTATTGCTTAAGAAATTGGTACAAAAAGAAAAAATATACACTATGGCTTCAATTTATAATCTTTTTTTTCATGCTGTGTTTTTTGCGGCACAATTGGAGTAGTAGCCTCTTGTAAAATATTAGAATGCAAGCAGTCTTTCAAAGGAGGTCATTTCTGTTTACAATTAACTAATATATGCAACAACTTAAACATTTTTCAACATCAAAAACACTATGAAACCATAACATCTTATAGAAGATATTATGTATGCAAAGTTCAAACGTACCGCAGCCAAAACACAGTTTAATGCCTTTTTTAGCAAACAGGAACAGAAATAATTAAGAAATTTGATTTAAAAACCATCCTTTATTAACCCTGAGTATTGCTTCTCCTCACCAGGAAAGTGACCGCCCTGACCTGAGTAACTTTATGGAAAGTGGAGAGTGGGAGATGAAGGATTTCCGCGGCTGGAAGCACTGGGTGTACTATGCTTGCTGCCCGGAAACCCCTTACCTGGACATCACCTACCACTTCCTCATGCTGCGCCTCCCACTGTACTTCATCGTCAACGTCATCATCCCCTGCATGCTCTTCTCCTTCCTGACCGGCCTCGTCTTCTATCTTCCTACAGACTCTGGTATGTTGATACCATGGTTGATACTGAGACCACAATTTGGATATAACATAAAGTATTAATCAATAGCACGGGGACATTATGACATCAGTGCTTTTCTCTGATTTTCAAAAAGCAATTAAAGATGACATATACCACATACAGTATGGTAATCTACAGTCTATACAATCTATACATATTCAACAATAACAACACACAATATATATATATATATATATACACACAATAGCTCTTCAAATACATCATCTATTCTATAGGCCAAGTTGACATAGCTGATTTTATATAGTATGTCTTTATACATTTGCCCAATTTATTGTGCCGCATGCAAATACAGTGAGCAGGGTTTATGTGAGGGGCTGGTAAACAGATTTTTTACCTCTGACTCGAGCCAGACTAGCTTGTTCCCTATAGCTGCCACCAGCACCTCTAAAACTCACTAATTGGCTCTCTGTCTGGCACTCTCACTGTGACAACAAGACATAGTCATTTCAGTTAATTAGTGAGCTTTCGAGGTGCTGGTAGGCACATTGAACAGAGCCAGACTAGCTGCTTTCCCCTGTTTCAACTCCTTGTGCTAAGCTAAGCTAATGGTTTCTTTGCTGTAAAGTATCATATTTAGCCCACAGCTATGAAAGAGGTTTTGGTTTTCTTAACCTTAGCAAGACGGCACATAAGCTTATTTCTCTAAATGTCAACCTATTTCTTGAACATGGATGACGGCAGGCCCAAAGTTCTCTGACACTCTCAGCTGAGATAATGATTCATACATGCTAACTGTATATATGTATAATATGGAGATATGGCAAATACAAAAAAAACCTCTGATTTAGTATTATGAAGTTGTCCAAAAAAAACATCTACTGAATGCGACATTATCTTCATTATCTGTGGTATCATGATGTGACATAAAAACACAGATACGATATGATAACTGACATCATGTTGGACTAATCCTCGTCCCTAATTCTGAGGTGTCCCTACATCAGCTGATGCAGTAGTTGCACTGCTTGTGCACATCTGGCCGTGTTCCCAGTGTGTAAGTCTGCCTCATTACCCAGGGTCCCTCTGTGCTGTCATGTCTGAAAGCGGGCCTTTGCTTTAATGTATAATACATCACTTGATTCCAGTGTCTGATATGGCTGCTGACAGGAAAGTGTGGAGGAGAAGCTGGTGCCAAAAGATGCTCTCTCCGGGATAACTGCTCTATCTGAGCAACAAAACAACACGTCTAGCATTTTACTTGTGAGATGGTGTCAGAATAAGTTTACTTGTTCTATTGTTGAGTTTAGAAACAACAGCAAAAATACCTCGTATTCTCGAGTGTGAACAGTGCAGTTATTGTGTGCTGTGTTAATAGTGGGGGTAGCATCCTGATTGGATGGCAGGGTAATGGAAGTATTTACTACCCACAGCAACAGCTCTCCCTTGTGGCGATGTATTAAGATTGCATGTTTTTGTGTTTTGAACAAACATTCTTTCAATACGGCAGCTCCCCATTTTTAATTCAGTTTAAGGGTTATTTCAGTGTGTCTTTAAAAGTAAAGATGTGTTCAAATAACATAGAATGTGATGTTGTAGGTTGACTTTTTCTGCTGCTGTAAACACAATGTTCTCTACACTTACAACATTTGAAATCCTTTTTGACCCCATGCTGATTTGTGAACCACAGACATTTGTTTCATATGTTTACCGGTTGTGACCAGTTGAACTAAAACAAGTTTGATGATTATCGATGATTTCTAAAGTCCTGTATATAGAGTTCATGATGATACCCTTGATGATCACAAAAGATGTCTTCTGTGTCTCCCAGGTGAGAAGATGACCCTCAGCATCTCCGTCCTGCTGTCTCTGACTGTGTTCCTGCTGGTCATTGTGGAGCTGATTCCTTCTACCTCCAGTGCTGTACCACTCATTGGGAAGTACATGCTCTTCACTATGGTCTTCGTCATTGCCTCCATCATTATCACTGTCATCGTCATCAACACCCACCACCGCTCCCCCAGCACTCACACAATGCCAGACTGGGTCCGCAAGGTGAGCACATAAACAGAGGGGAACATACACCTTAACCTATTGTTTTGACTGAAGAGCTTTACCACTCAAACTTGGCAAGCTTTAGAGAACAATCCTTTATTTATTTTTCTTTGTATGATATTGCCATCTAGTGGTAGCAGGCATAACATGTTAATTTCACATAATCCAACTTGTCTAATGCTGTATGACATCATGCATATCTGTTGTCTTTCTATGAACAGGTTTTCATTGAAACCATTCCCAACATCATGTTCTTCTCAACAATGAAACGCCCAGGAAAGGAAATGCAGGTTAAACCCAACCTATATGGTGCTGATTTTGACATCTCAGACATCTCAGGCAACCAGGCCTCTTCTGTTCCCTATCAGTCGCCCATGACTAAGAACCCTGACGTCCGCAGTGCCATTGAAGGAGTCAAATACATCGCAGAAACCATGAAATCGGACGAGGAGTCCAACAATGTAATCTCTCTTGCACAGAAAGTGTCACTAATACTGTTCTTTAGCATGCTTTGTGTAACACATTGTCCCTCTTTTCTTTCCAGGCTGCTGAAGAATGGAAGTTTGTAGCCATGGTGTTGGATCACATCCTGCTCTGTGTGTTCATGGCAGTGTGTCTCATCGGCACATTAGGTGTGTTTGCAGGCCGTCTCATTGAGTTGAGCACGATTTAAAGTCCTGGAGTGGAGTGCACTAGCTGGGCGTAACTGCATCATGTTTTACCTGTCTAACTTTGAACAATAGCTGCATTCATAGTATAAGTTTTTGTTTGCTCTTTGATGTTGTGTTCCTACATGTGTATATGTAAAAGATAATGTTGTATACAGTAGCTTCAGGATATGTTTTTGCCAGAGCTGTGTTGCTTTTCTTTTTTAAAGTAATATATAGGTATATGTGTGCAATTGAGATATTGAATTCATTTAAAAACATTTCATATATTCTTTCACATGTTTGTTTAGGGAACAACTTAATTAAAAATGATCAAGTCTTGCTCTGTGTCCAGAATCCTTTTGCCTCATATTATTTCATATATGTAAAGGTGGTAAATATAAAAGTAGTTATTTTGCATTATTAAGCTGAAGTGAGGCAATGATGCTGACGAGCGTGATTATCTCAGGCTGTAAAACAAAACATTGAGTTATAAGAAAAGCTGAGGGACATTGAAGAGTTGAGTCATACTGTAGTTCTCTGTGGGTTTGTCCCTTCAAATAACCCCTGTCACCTTATACAGTCATATGATTCATTGTTCATAAAGGATGTACGTAGAGTTATTGAATTATGAAAAAGGAAAAACTGAGGGCTGGTGTGGATTGATGACTCAAATACACATATAAAACAAGTCTTATTAACAATAATAAACTATTACTTTTGTAGGAAAATGATGCTTTCTGAAAGTTTGATTATCAATTTTACATATACCAGACTTGGTTTTTCATTTAGAAATATGTACACCTAACTCATGAATTGCCAAACTTTGATTACCTTTCCAAGCTTTTTAAACACTTCCTCAACATTCACTAAGAACCATCTCTTTGAAAAATCCTACTTCAATCACTACAATCCACCATCTGAAATTAGGTTTTCTAAGATGTATAACTCATAATGTATTATAAGTAAGTAAGACAGTACAAGTTATAATGTCTAAGAGGGGAATAGTATCTCATCTCAGTCCTGTTTTAATTATACCCTCTCCTGCACATGGTTCAAGCGTTTTTAAAACTCTTGCGTCTTCAAATAATAACAAAACTATAGACTACAGAGTTTAATTCAGTATTATTACTAAATGTATGTGTCGTACTTGATGGGGGGCATCAAAAAGCGTGTGTACCTGCTTTGCATGTGGTGTGTGGTGTGTAAACGAGTAAGCCCCGCCTCTTTTTCCCTCGGTATATTTTGATTGGTTGAATCGTTGTTGACAAATCAGGGAATAGGAAAGTTGCTGGGTGGTGACTAAAGTGAGCTATTAACACCTACGTAACGCGACATTTCAACAACTATATAGCCCCGGGTGGGGTTAACGTGTGGATTTTGGAGTTGTGCAACTCCACTTACGATTTAAGAGGATACTCTCAGTTGTGTTTCACCAATTCAACGATAGCTAGCTGGCTAATGGCTACTCCAACTGACATTTCACTGACACATGGAAACGTTAACGGTACACGTTGGGGCTGAACTGCACTCAGAGCAGAGGTTAGTAATTTATTTATAACCGCAATGACCTTGATATGCCTGTTTTCTATTTGGTAAAAGCTTGATAGTCACTCGTAAAGGAGTCGGTTATATTACGTTGATTTGGTTAACAAACGCCGTTAACTCGTTATCTTTGCCAGTTTAACGTCTTACTACAAACTCCTCCTTTGAACTCCCTCCCTCTTGTGTTATCTGACAGGTTCGACAGGAAATAACATGCCCTCAAACCAGACATGACAAGTGACAGTGGAAGGATGATCAACATGATGGAGGCACCGGGCAGAAACACCAACTTTTCATATGAGCAGGAAGTCCCCTCACCCAGCATGTCCATTGACAAGCTGCTACCGGCTCTCCTGCAGTGCTTTGGGATAATACTGTGTGGATACATCGCAGGGAGGGCAAACATCATCACCTCCACACAGGCCAAAGGATTGGGGAATTTTGTGTCCAAGTTTGCCCTCCCAGCTCTGCTGTTCAAGAACATGGTGCTGTTGGACTTTGGGAATGTCATTTGGCCATTTCTATGGAGCATCCTCATTGCCAAAGTGTCTGTGTTTTTCCTTGTCTGCGTTCTCACGCTGATAGTTGCCAGTCCTGAGAGCCGCTATAGTAAAGCTGGGCTTTTCTCAATATTTGCCACCCAAAGCAATGACTTTGCCCTGGGATATCCCATTGGTGAGTATAATGCCTTTTAAGCCTACCACACACATTGCTTTTCATTCACTGCTGCAACTGTAATCATGCTGTCCTTATGTTTGTCCACTCATCAAATCAAAAGTGTAATTATCCATGTGTCACTGTAAACTACCTCAGCTGAAGTTGATATCATTGTGCTCACAACTTTCCCTTTTTAGGTTTTTATTCCTGAGAACATTTAGATTCATTATGTTATACTCGCAAACATTTGGACAAATGGAATAACATCTCTGATCATGCTTATCTTCCAGTAAGGGAATTTAAATGTTATACAAGCATACTCATGCTCTATAAGCATGCATATGCTGATGCTTCTGATCATATTATTATAGAATAAACAAACCCTTTAAGCATGATTGATTAACTGACCGTTATAGATATTTCTAAATACAGTAGTAACAACAGCGCAGGTAACAGTATGGCCCAGGTACTTTATATGTAAACAGTCCTTACACTTCGCAGAGTACGTCAATATTGAGCTATTTGTTTTCATCTTTATCCACAGTGGAGGCCCTTTACAAGAGCACATACCCAGAGTACCTGCAGTACATCTACCTGGTGGCACCGGTGTCCCTGATTCTTCTAAACCCCATTGGCTTTGCTTTCTGCGAGATCCAGAAGTGGAAGAATCAGGGAAACCACCAACAGAGAAAAATCCTGATCGTGGGGCTTGTAGTGTTGCAGGTCCTGAAGAACCCTATCGTGTTCATGGTTGTCATCGGCATCATCGGCCATTTTGCCCTGCATCAGACAATTCCTCCCTTCATGGCTTCATTTCTTGATGGCTTGGCCAACTCTTTCGGGGGAGCAGCTCTGTTCTACTTGGGTCTGTCCATGGTGGGACAGTTGGGGAAATTAACCAGATCCTCAGTCGTGACACTGATTTTACTCACAACAGCGAAACTGTGAGTGGAAAAAACTAAGATCTTTGCTTAATGTGCATTTTGAACAAGGGAGGATTCAGTGTTATCAGATGAACTCTTAATGTGTTCTGGGAGTGTAGATAGTCGTCACGAACATGTTGTTTTGTGCTTATGGTTTGTGTGAGTCATGCTTTTCACATTCCACATTATCATGCTACACCTTCCTAACAGCTATGACTTGTCATAGCTGTTAGGAAGGCGTAGCATGATAATAACTAGTGTATGTTGTTTATATATTCGTAACATTTTTCAGTTAACTAACTCTCAGGTAATAATTTATGACACCGGCCGTTTGATTTCACTTTCAGGTTGCTGATGCCGCTGATTTGTAAGGACATGGTGGATTTATTGGACAATACCAACACCAGCTCATTGAACCACTCAAGCCTATCCAATTATGCCTTTCTTTATGGCGTGTTTCCCACTGCACCAAGTGTGGCCATCTATGCTGTTTATTACAACGCAGAGCTAGAAGTTGTAAGTTGTTTAGAGTCAACATCCTATCTGCCATTTAGATGCTAACAATTCATTTTATTTTTTACTTAACATACATAGTATTCTTCTTCCTGACAGGTAACCTCTGGGATGGTGATCAGCACTTTTCTCTCAGCTCCAATAATGTATGTTTCTGCCTGGTTACTTACGATGCGCTGGATGGATCCTCAGCTTTTGATGAATTCACTGCTGAGTGTCAGCTTTAATATAAGCATAGTGACCTTGGTTGCACTGGTAAGTCTGATATGTGTTAACTTGTTGTTGGTTAATGTTTTATAACTGTCTTTTTATTGGCTGGTTATTTTGTTTTATCTTAGTATGTGGAATCTGGGTTCAAAGGGAAGTCCTGACTCATAAACCCTTTGCTAAAGCATTCTCTACTTCTGAACTTAAAGCAGTTGGGCCTGCAATTACTTTAGTAAGTTATTTCCATAAAACAGCACAATTCACTACTGCTACTACACATCTGCTGTGGAATGAAAAGAAAACACAAACATGTGGCTTCTTGTGAGATGTTCGAACCACTGTGGCAGATAGACATAAAAAGGCTTCGTCATTTAGAGGATGTGTGACCGAACAGATGCTTTACTGGCTTGAGAACTTACTTCCTCATTCAATTCCACTTTCAGGAACCTGCAACCTGTTGCAAAAAACAATGAATAATCTTTGTTGTGATGAAATATGTATACAGTTGTGTATTCTGCAGTATATTTTACTACCTTGTTAGTCTCCATTCTTTCATTCTCTTATTTCACCTGTCCTTTGCTTTCAAATGAAATGCCAGCAAATAATGTTGAATAATGATAGTTATTGACATGTCTTCGTGTTGGACGACATGTATAATTTAAAATGTGTGTTTTCCCTCACAGGTTTGTACAATTGCTGTCATGTTTTTAAGTAAAAAATTCAAGAAGCTACCTCACATGTTTACAATCAACCTTTTTTTGGCACAGGTGAGCAAACTTGCACATTTTTTCTGAATTGATTTTATGATCCATTATTCAAATTGACCAAACATCTACCTGCAGGTGTAACCTCATAAGTAAATGCAGTTCTTTTTTATTGTTTGGTCGGTAGCTCCTAACTTGTGTTGGGATGATTCTGTGGAACTTTATGGTGAAAGAAGACAACTTCATCGGGCAGGTCCTGACGTTCACATTAATATGTACCTCCCTCTACAGTAGCTTTGTTTGGCCAAGTATGCAAACAACTCTCCATCCACTTTAACCTCACATTAAAATGCATACATTTAATTTGGTGATCTCTGAAGACTGAAGTTGTTTTGCTAATTCTGTAATGTGTTGTTTATCATTATAGGTTTAATAGCACTCTCTCTTGTGCTCATGAAGAGTCATGAGGATGTGAAAGTCTTACCCGGCATGTTCCTCATTGCTGGCTGGGGGTGAGTCTCTTTTTAAAGAAGACTAAAAACAGAAATGAAACTAACCCAGATTGTCTGGTCTACTAAAAGGTCCGCCATGTTGGGGATTTTAGATTAAAGTGCATTCATTTAAAAATGTAATCAGAAACGGAGTGTCATTGAGAGGATTTACATTTTACATCTTGATACTGTAATTGATTTGAAATGTTGTCTCTATATTCACAGTATCCCAGTGTCAATAACAGCTGTGTTGCTCATTTCTGGGACAAAAGTGCCTGACACTATTGACTCAGCTTTCTTTTATGGCAAACCACAGGTAACAACATCTAAATCTTTCATATTTTCTGCAATTTTTTAACCTGCAGAGAAATACTTAAAAGCCTACATGTCTGTATGTGCATTATTTTACAGATAATATGCACCACGGTTGTGCTAGCTCTCAGTATACTGCTGGGAGGGAGCTCTCTTATATGTCTCAGCAGAGGAAGCTGGGCCCACACTGAGGAAAACTCTGCAGAGGATCTTGTAACTGAGGATGATCCAGAGAACCAGTCTCTGTTTGAGCCAACCGCCCCATCAGGAGATCCCAACGGAGGTCATTTCTCTTAAAGAGGCCATTCAACTGAGACTTTTATTCAACATTTCAACATTTGTTTGAATGTCACCTTTTAAGATTCTGAATAAATAACCGTTTGCCAAGTGATGAATGTCACAGCACATGGGAGCACACAGAGAGTTCACACATCTTAAATGTTGTCACAGTTGTTAAAGCCTTAGAGAAAAGGAGAGAACAGTCGTTATTCAAAAGTCATCCATACGTCTTCTTCAAACTGCCACATTGGCAGCGCAACTTATTTCTCATGTACTGCCCCAGCAGACCATTTGCACAAGTAGAACAAATAAGTTTCAAAATCACAAAGTAAACACTGAGAAAAAGGAACAAACATTTTGGATGTCATTATCTGGAGGAAACACAAGAATCTGAAGTTACTGATAAGTGTCGATAGTATGACTCGATACAAGTCATAGATATAACTTGTAATTGAGCCTTCACGGCTAACATTTTGTCTTCTTTTGTAAGGAGACTACTGCTGTGCCAACTCAAAATGTGCCTGTTAAAAACGTAATACAATACAAAGTGTGCACATGACAAAATGAGTCACATGGATCTCAAGCTGGCACCTAAAACATCCAAAGTCTCCTTCCATTCAAGTTAGAGCTCTAAGTGTGGTCCGACTTTGGGAATTTTATTACAATACATACAAACCAGTTCTGCCACTGTTGGAGAAACACACTCTTTCTTTTATATGAATATGATTTGAAAGATACTAGTGTGTTGCAGACAATCATGATTCTAACATAAAAACAACGACAATTTAAACATGTGGTTAAGAGAATACAGTAGGTATCATTCACATAAAGAGTAGCATGAAAACATTTAATTTCGCAATAACTCAAAATATTCAAGATAGTAATATGTTATAAGTATTACTCTCATCTTCATTAGAGGGTTAATCTTGTTCTGTATTACTCATACTGTGTGTGCTTTTTGCCTCGAGTTTGACCTCACTCTTAACACTTTGTTATCAGCGTGCCTCCTGTGTGACTGCGCCCCACCCCAGCCCATGCCTGACATGATCAGCACCACCATCAACAACACAGCAACCACACTCACAGGTGTTTTACTAATAAACAACAGTACATTTATTCAGCGAGAATTAAAAATACATTAACCCCAATTTGTTAAACACACACAACAATGAGCATTTCTGTACAATTAATAAGATTCAGTATTGAGTGTATGTTCATTTCCTGTTGTGCTGCCCCCCTCAGGTCAGTGTGAGAGCTGTTGTGAGTCCACAGACTGCCTGCTCCAAGTGGAGGAGCTCCAGCAGGTAGAAGAAAGACAAGTGGCCCGTCATGTGCTCCTCTGTCTGCTTCTGACTGTTGGCTTGTTGGCTGTGAGTAAACCACCACTTTTCACTTCTACAGTGACATGAAGCCAGCCTTACTGCCTGCATCATTATATTTAGTGCATCACAAACCAAATCAGACACAAATGGCTGAGCCATGTAATTTCCAACTCACTCACTCATTCAGTTTTGGTTGTAGCCTTCTCCAAGGCAACCCATTAGATTATTATGTTTGGATTGGTATTTATTGCTCTAAATATTTGATAAGAAAAATATTACATCTAGAATTTATATTTGTTTGTCCCTGTTTTAGGCCTTATTTATATTTCATTTTAAAGAACATTTTAAAGTATGTTAAGACTGGACATGAAAGCTGACTGGTTCTAATAAGACTAGTAGATACCAATCAAACTTGTGATATGTGGTTTCTTTGTGTATCTCAACAAATATTTTTTAAAACCTGTAAATTCACTATTTAAAGGTATAGTACAAATGATATGTAGTGGGGTTGGAAAACATTCTCCTCCATAGTCACTGCTTTACATTGCCCTTTCCAACTAGACTACATTGACAAAATTAGTAATTTTATCTTATCACAAGAGTTGCTGGTTTATGGCTGCCTACATTAGTGAATTTGTTTGTGTTAATGTGTAACTTTGGTCAAAGCATCAAAGTCACTTGAACAATCTAACCAGTGCAGGAAGCAGCTGACTGGAGGTTGTGTTTTGTGAGGTAAAATTACAGTTTTTTCTCAATAGTCAATAGAGTCATGAGGCTTTAAAGAGAGCATGGATAATGGCCTCAGTTCAACGTTGTAAAGGGCAATCCGGCAGCCATGTAAATGAAACAAATACTCTAAATATAAAGCTGATCTTGAATATACAACAATATATTTTGTACTTTACTTTGCTACTGTGCCAGTACTGCTTTCTGCTCATACAACAAACATACAAGTACTACATACAGCCCTTATTCAAATAATCCAAACTATTCCCTTAATGGAAGTCAAGTCACTCTTATTTTCTGTCACTTATTTAGTTGTCCTAATGCAGTAATTTCACTCAACTGGTTCCACAAGCGCTTCGAGATTTGTCTTGGCAGATGAGAAGCACTATATACATTTAATTTATTATTACATATTGTATTCTGTCAGCATGTTTGCTGGTGTACACCTCAAACAAAAAGCTCCTCTCACTTCCTGTCATAACAGAACCTGTCCAGCTGCTTGTGGTTGCTCTTGAATCCGGTTCCTGGTAGACTCTACTTGGAGCTGCTGTTCTTCTGTGCTGTGGCCAACTATGGACAGGTTGGTTTCCCAGATACACTAATACCAAGATTGTGAGCTTTTTATTGTCACAAAGCACCAGTGTCATGACCTGTTCTCTGTCCCTAGGGTTTGCTCTCTTTTGCTCTCTTTGGGATGGACAAGCATTTGATAATACTGCCATTTAAAAAGAGGTAAAGATAATCTATGTTATTAAGCTTTGACACACTCTCTAGTGTTTTACACACAAGCCACACTGTATTAACCGTGTATACATACTATGTGTTAACTACACTATACTCTATGCATTTATACCTTGTTTTTGTGAATGTTTTTTTAGGTTACATCGTCTGTTTTATGGAAAGAAGCAAGAAGAGCAACCACAGACTAATTTACCGGAGGAAATCAGGATGACCTGCTCCCAATTCACCCAATACCACAAGGACCAGTGTTGTCATGACATCGTCAAAAAGAGAAGGTGAGAGCACATCATCATCATACTCACCGCTGCTCTAGTCAGAGGTTGATGACAAATGTCTTGAATAAACATGGTGTGTGGAGAAACAATCCTGGTAGTCCAACACATATGACAATTATTTAAAAAAACCTTTCAACAGTTATTTTGCTGTAAAGTGTCACTTCTGTAGGCTATTTTTATAGGGTTAGGGTTATGTACAGCACTTTGGCTCGACCAAAAATCGTTTATAAATGTGCTATATAAATAAAACTTGATTTGATTTGATAGTGCTGTCTCTTTGCTTCTTCTATCTATAATTCAACCTTTTGGGTGGATGTTTCTTTAAACTATAAGGTGTGGGAAGCAGACTATGGTGGAGATTTTCCTTGGCTGTGACCTGGTGGAGTGGCTGCAGCAGGTGGGCTTGGCTCAGGATCAGGGGGAGGCGGAGCTCTACGGGAAGCGCTTACAGCAGGGCGGGGTGCTCCAGCACATCGGGCAGGAACACGGCTTCCAAGACAGTCACCTTTATTACCGCTTCATGACATAAGAAACAAGGTCAACCTTTCTGTTCTGTTTTTATTAAAGGAAAATTGCATTTTCATTGAGGAAGAAAATGTCTTCTTTGATAGATCTTAAGGTCAGGCCACATGAAGAAGCATACTGACTCTAGGAAGTACCATAATCTGACATGCTGTGTGCACACCATGCACAGTACAGTCCTTCCCAATGCTGTTTTGTTCAGCACAACATCCCTGTCGGGTGTTGGAACAGACCACACCTGAACGTGATGATGGGTGTGTTCAGAAGGGCAACAGACTTGAAACTTTAAAACTAAGTAAGGCCAGGTCATCGCACTGTGCAGAGTTGGTCCTAAAGGGATTTCTAACCATAAATGTCTTATTTATGTAGTTAAACATTTAACATTTCAATCACCAGTATACATTTAGGGATATTGAGATGCAGCAACATTGCTTCAACGGTCAGTCAGGACAGACTCTGCATCATTTTAACTGCAATGAAACTGGTGATTAAAATGATTACATTGAAAATGACTGAGGGCCATAATTTCATATACAAAATCATAAGCATGTCATGCCAGTTAAAACAAGTATTACCAATTTTAAAGGATAAAACTAGACGTTGCTGCTTTTTATTGAATTTGTTATCATTTCAAATGCAATGCAAATACTTGGACTTTCCGTTGGATTGTTTTTATGTTGTGTCCTGTTTGGGATTGACAATGCAGGCAAGCAAGAAATCCCATTATTCTGCTAAATGTATTATTGTCTTCACTAGGGCACTTCAGAGTGTGTCATCACTCTTTTACCAACGCCACTTGCCAAAAGAAAAAAGGAACATGGTTAAAGCTGCCTCCTTTTTTTAATAGAATGTTTTTTAATGTATGGCTAAGTGAGTTTTACCAGATAATTACCTGGTTATGAAGCTTGAGAGTATTGTATCTTTGATAACCTGTAGTTTAATAGGACTTGGTTCTGATGTAAAACAGTTTAGCAGAGCTAGTATCCTAACATTTCAACAAACAACCTGCCAGTTCCTGCATGTTCCAAATTTGAATGACAATGTTGAAATTAAGAATTGTTTTTCTGAAAATGACAAAATAAGCAACCTTCCTCTTTACATTAAAAAAGTTATAATTTGTGTGAAATGAGTGTCATAATCCAGACAATGTTAATGTGTTTACTCGCAAGTGTGCACATTGACTTTGAGACTTGGGATGTTACAAGCTGCTGGAAATCATTTTTTTTCTCTCAGGTATACATAATTTAAAACACTGCTAAAATATAGTTTTGTTGCTTTTTAAAAAGCAAAACGTTTTACATTTATGATGCACTAGAGGTGTAAAATGTATTTTTGATAAGAAAAACACTTTAATATACTAGGTGTGTATTAATGATGTGTTTTAAAAATAAATGTTATGCCCAAACCCTCAAGTCCCGTCTAATGTAATTTGTTCCTCCTAGTATTTCTGGTCAATGATGCGATACGTACAACATGGGTATCCAAGTCTGTTTTACTTTTTCTACAGCAATGTTAATTTCTCAAGTTCTGTTCTATTTAATTATACAACCATGTTTTTTTACACCTGATTCAACGGTAAACGCAGAAGCATATGCTGGCTGTGTCACTGCAGTTCTGTTTTGTGGTTTCAGCTCTTGCCGTACACGGCCATCTCCTCCTGAACACAGCTCGGGAACAGATTCACCAAAAGATCTGGTTCCTTAATGCCATGTGAAAGAATCTCCTCCATCTCTGTCATCTTCTCCTTCTCCAGTCTCCTCATATTTTCTGTGATCTTCTTTCCTCTGTCCTATAGACAAAAAACAATTGGTTAATACATATTTAAAAAGAAATTGATCATACCAAGTTGAAATTGCAGGCTGAAATTAAGTTGTTAAACCTTGAAGGACTCCATGATGGCCGCCACCAGTTCATGTTTGACAAACAACTCGTGTTTGCGGTCAGGTTTGCTCTGGAAGCGAGGTTTCTTCTTGACAGGGTCATCCGCACCATAGCTGGGAGAAGTAGTCTCCTTCGGCAAATTAATCGCATTAATGTTCTTCACAAAGATGAAAGGTTTGAATACGGACCTGTTGTGCAAAAATAATGACATTATCTGGTCATTAGCTTTTTTAAATGACTTCAAAGCATGCTTTATCAGCTGAACTGTGATCCAGCACTTTACCTTTCAGGGTCTGGAGTTGCTGTAAAGTAGTGAACCCCGGGCAGAGAGGGATCAGTGGGTATCACAGACACCATACTTCCTGTTGTCATGAACATGCCCTCCATGTTGATGCCACTCTCTTTATCTCTCAGGATATCCATCATCGTCTCAGCAGTAATGTGACCTTCAGTAGACAAAATAAACACTTGCATAAACAGCGGTACAGTTGTTACCTATGATTCAATTCCCCATAGTGAAGTGTGTGTTACTTACCATTGCTCTTTTTCAGCAACTTCTTCCCCTCACAGTACCGGCTCCCAGCAGCTTCTATTCTGGCTGTAGTGGTAAAGGAGTAGACCGTGGAAAAGTTGAACTGAGTCTTTCCATCCCACCAGCCCTTGCTCTGTGCATATTTCCTCAATTCTGGGTGTTCCTTGTCGATCTTAGTTTTTATGCTATACTCGTTTGAGATGTTGCGATATCCAGCTAGAAGTAAAAACGAGAAGATTAGCAATTATACTTGAATTTAACAATATTTGATAGCAACCTAAGCAGTGTAATGTGTTGTAAAAAAACTCAGGCCTTTAATGCAGAAAAATGTCAAGGCGTGATGGTCTTAATAAGAAATTTGATTGGCAGCTACTCAGAGAATAACCTGACAGGGACAATATGGTAAATGACAAAAAGAATAAACATTAGAGCATCAGAAAGTCTTCTATTTTACTTTGATAGAATAATAATAATAATAGCTCCACTTTGAAGAAGGATAATCTTGTGCCCAGGTTTATTTAACAAGGTAGGATTCTTGTAATTATTGTTACCAAAGTGTGACAGTTAATCATGGCATTTCTGTCAGTGATATCAACCAGCCCTTTGTTTACAAAGCAGCTGGAGTGCTGACAGAGCTGTTGATCCTGGTGCGCCACATAAACAAAACTAAGTAAACATTCTTATTGTTTTGGTAGGCCCATGGGTTTGGGTGTACATATTTAAATATCAAATTAAATTAAAAACATATTTTGTTAGTAAGTTATAGGTTTGCTAAAGAAAAAAGGTTAAAATTATGTATATGGATGATGATGATGGATATATAGGATGATGGTGCTTGTTGACAGCTGGGATCTTTTTGGCTTATTGGGCTGCAACTAAAATAGACTCCTACAAACATACAGTATATTTGGCATTTCTCCGACAGCATATATACAGATAAAACGATAAATATGAACGTTATTCTGTTTTCTAATTACCTTGTCTTCTCTCTGCTGCCCAGTGCTTCCCTGATGTTTCCAGCAGCCATGCCTCCTTCCTGTCAGAGATGAGGAAGCTGTTGTGGTAGGTGAAGCTTCCCTGATCCTCCATGCACGATCCTCCTTGGCCATATTTTTTCAGAAGCTCAGTGATAACATCCACAGCTTTCTCAGCTGTATCCGCTCTCTCAAGTCCAAGCCTTGAAAATTGTAGAGTCAGAAATGTATGTTTTGCTTCGTCATTGAGTGTTTCTCAAAAATGGTTTTCTGGATGTTATTACATTTCCAACAATCTCTTTTACAGGGGCTTTACCTGACAAGATCCATACCGAGAAGAGCTTCGTCACCATCTGCACTCTCTCTGCCCCACACTGCTTCATTTCCAATACACACTTGATGTTCATTTGCGCCCATTTCTGCGCCCCACAGCCATGCTGGTTTGCTCAACATCACTGCATAAGTGTGGGCAACCTGCTCGATCTCTATGTATGTACACTGTTCACAAGATAAAGAAGAGAAAAACTGTTAATGGTTACCCCATGGCACTTTCACCAAAGATCAATCATTGTGGGCAATTGTGAAATTGAAGGTTGGAGGGCAATAACAAGCTGTCTGTGTCGCCTACCTCAACCTTCTCCCCTGCAACGAAATCTCTGGCAGGAAAATAGACCACCTCCTGAACTTCATCACAAGGCCTGTCAGAGTTTTTCCCAAAGATGATGCATTGTCTCTCAGTGGAGGGGGGCAGAGCCACGAAGGTGTCACAGGAGGATGGGTGCATTTTGAATCAAAAACTTTCTGAAAGTCATAAACATAAGGATCAGTACATTGAGTGGGTTACATTTGTAGTTAAACAGGTTTTGAAAAAGGCCTTAACATTAGCAGCCAATAGTACACTTTGCACCATATTTATTAGCCAATAATACGACATTGGTATTAAATCAGATTTAGACCTAAAGTTACATGAGAGAGCAAGACAAATGTGCAGAGTAATTGAGTTGTTTGTAACTATATTCATCATTCAACAAGGTACGCTTACCTGTGTCTGTCAGTCTTAGGTCTTACTGAGCTCTGTCTGTCACTATAAGTTTCTATTTTCTTTTAAGTTTCCATTTGAGCTCACCGTCACAGTTCACATTGTAGTCTCACACGGAAACAGTCACACAGTCACGTGACCAAGCTGAAGTCCGTTTTATATTTGTAATCGAAGTAGTGTTGTTTTTTTACATTATAGTTTTTTGTTTTCATCCTTTATTGTTACGATGGCAGTTGGTGTTCCTAAAACATATACATTTTATTTAATAATTGTTTGACGATGTGTTGTCAGGAAATCATTATTGTGTCATTTCATTTATAATTTAATTATCAAAATCCCATGGACAAACCCAATTAAAAAGATGTAGCTTTTTAAGTTTATATATTACAAATGATGTTACTATATTTCAATGTAAATACTTGATGCATAAAGAATGAACAAATACATGTAGTTTAAAGCGTTACGCGTTTATGTTTTCAACGGCTCCCTGTAGCACCAACACAGAACTGACTTCCTGCAGAAGGATTTGTTTACATGCGCACTCGGAGGCAACCTGCTACGTTATCAACTCTCTTAGCCAACGCTACGATTTCCATTCAGGTGACATTAACGGTTGTCAGCCATGGGGAAGTCGTTTGCCAATTTCATGTGCAAGAAGGATTTTCATCCTGCGTCGAAATCAAATATCAAAAAGGTGAGTGGTTGCGACAGTTAGTATTACAGTTTGAGGGTAATTTAGCCAACTAGCAAGCAATGCTAACCGTTGATATGCTAGCCCAATTTGCTACTAAGCTTAAGCTAACACAATCCACTTTGAAAATTGTTTGATACAAATGACTCCCACTCAGTAGTGTTTATGTGTCAATTATATACAAACCATATACGATGTTTAGTCTACATTGTGTGCTCGCATTGTTGTGTGTTGGTCGGTAACGTAAAGCGAACGTTACAGTACAGAAAGACATCGCTAACTTTACTTTAGTCCACTTTACTATCGTCGTCTTTAAAAGATAAAGATACTATTAGCAAAAATTGACCACCCAAACTAATACTGTATTTGTTTACTTTGCTGATTGTAAATGTGATTCAATATACATGATATGTAGTACTATCATTGTGTCTAGATGTAGTCTAATGCTAACTTGTAATGAGAGTCGTCTCTCCGCTCCCTGTAGTATAAATCAGTTCTCGAGACTAACAATGTTTATACACATGACAACCTCTCAAATAAATTCATTTGAAGATACATTCAATGATTGCATGCTCTACTCATTCATGTGCTTTAGTTTTAGCTGTAACCCATAAGGATTTCTCTCTGTTGATGAATGTGACTGTAATGATGATAATAATTTAATCTGTAAAATAAAAATATTCTTACAGGTATGGATAGCAGAACAGAAAATAACCTTCGACAAGAAGAAGCAAGAAGATCTCATGCAGGCGTACATGAAGGAACAGGATTGTTACAACAACAGGTTTGATACATATATAATTGTAACCTTAAACCACCTCATGACCTACTGATTTATTTTGAATTGCATTTAATTTTGGTTTATTGATTAAAACGTAACGTGTAAATGGAAAGGTTTTTATTTACTTTACATTAACTTATACAATCATTTTAAAATAAATACTTCCTCTAATGTTATGGTAAATGTTGAAAATCACCATTAATAGAAAGTAACTCAAATAAAATGTTTTTGTTGTGTTTTCCATTCTGCAAATTATGTATCTATACATTCCATTTATTGTATATAGACTCTTCTTGCATTATTTCTATTTTATTTTGTACATTACACAACTCAAAACATTCTCTTGCACTATTTTATTTATCAGTTGTATTTGTTCTATGTCCTATATATATTCATGTTGCTCTGTTGGAGGAGCCTGTGACTTTTTCATTGCCATATCTACACTGTAGCTACTGTGCACATGACAATAAGGCCTTGAATCTTATTACCTTTAGGGTGTTGATGGGGGATGATCGTGTTAAAAATGGCCTCAATTTCATGTACGAGGCTCCACCGGGAGCATCCAAAGGTCAGTGGTTACTTATTCCAAACATCTGATTCTTAAGAAAGAAATGATAAACTTCATTAATACTTGTTTGCTTTCTTTCATCATTGTCTTCTCTCCTGAAGAGGAAACAAAAGAGGTAATTAAAGCAAATTATTTATCCATACGGTCCACTCTTTTTCTGCATGTGGACCTTTCTTTACAACTCATTTATAAATAGAAAGGCTTGCATACTAAAATGTGTAATGAACATGTGTCTTTTTTTCAGGATGGGGAAGAAGAGTACAAATTTGAGTGGCAGAAAACGGCTCCGAGAGAGAAGTAAGTATTTTTCTTTGAAACGAACCTACATTTTATAGAAATATTCTCAAGTGCGCTGCAACATTTGCATTCTATTTAATCCTTCATTTTCTCCTGTAGATATGCGAAGGATGACATGAATATTAGAGATCAGCCGTTTGGAATCCAGGTATGTGATGAATTTTTATTATTTGAGGCATTAACGGAGCGTCCACACAGCAGCGTGCGTTGACACTTGGAGGTGGGCGTATCTGAAGCTTGGGGATTTTTTGCGACCAACAACCAATCACATGAATCTCCCGCCCCCGACAAACAAAGCAATAGCAATGTTAAAACGAAGTAAACTGGATATAAACTCCCCAAACAGGCGAAAACCTACCAGATTCACCCACTGTCTCTGCCACCTCCCTCCATGCCTCGCTCCTCCGGTTTGTATCCCGGTAGATGAACAGAGACTGATCATACAGCACCGGGTGATTCACTACCGCTATAATGAATTTTCCCTCCATTTTTTTGAATATGAGGAAATGACCTGCGTAGTCTCTCCCAGCATACACGCGGTTTGATTGGCTAGTGCTTGTACTGGCAGATTTGCATAAACGGGATTTCATTGGCTGACGCCTCCATCGAGGCGTCAAAAGTTGAACATTGCTCAACTTTTGACGCCAGCAACGCTCCACGTCGCTTCCCAAAATGCAGTTCGGCTAAAAGTGACGTCACCCCATTCAAAGTGAATGGGCAGAAGCGTTGGAAGCTTCAACGCACGCCGCTGTGTGGACGGGCCGTTAGGCTGCACCTGTGATTTAGATCTAGTGTGCACAGGTTGATACAAATCTAAACAGAAGAAATGACACCCATATCTGTCTAAGATGTAGCAGTAAACGTATACGATTGGGACCCACTGTAGTATTAAAGAAACTGCATACATTAGTGAACAAAGTAAAAAAAATTGGACATTAAACTAATCGATTTAGCCTTAAAGTATGTGATGCCATCATGTTTAGAAAGGATTTGTAGACTATTGGTTTGTCTAAGTAATGAATGGTACATCTGCACTATTTTCCATAATGTGTGTTGTTGTGAACCCCCCAGGTGCGCAACGTGCGGTGCATCAAATGTCACAAATGGGGCCACGTGAACACCGACCGAGAGTGTCCCCTCTATGGTCTGTCGGGTATCAATGCCAGCGCTGTGGCCCCCGAGGAGGCACCAGGTAAATGCAGTCATTATCTCAAATCTGAAACGCCTTCTCCAGCAGTGTCTTTGTTTATCAAAATAATCAAATGTTATTTTGATATCTCTGTAAACACACAACAACCATTTTATATACAGATAGTGTGTTGCTATTGAATTAAAACAGTCATTCATTCATCTATACAAGCATATGTCAACATTATAAATACAGCACATTTAAATATGGGATAAAATAAAGGAAGTAATCATTAACAGTTTATCAATATGTTGATACTTGACCTGCTGTGATATATACTTCTAAAACATGGGTGTTCTTGATTATGCAATGGGAAAAACCAGTAGGATTATGGTATGTCGTACAATATTATAAGGAGTGAGTGTGAGCTTCAGTCTGTTGCAGATTTTGCAGCAGGTACACTGAATCATTCCCCTCGGGGTTCAGCTGGAGCTCCCAGACTTCTGCAATCAGCAGATAGCGCAGTAAAGAAATAATGTTTCCCTGGGAGAGTCCAGTCAGTGCATGGTGTTGATGGTGGAGTGCTGTAATGGTCCCCCTCCTGTGCCGGGAGGAAAAAAAGTAATTATTGTGTATTCTGATTCCCCTAACTGCTGCTTTGGCAGAGCATGATATTGTATGATTTGCTCAGCCGGAAGTAGAGTGAGTTGATTTGATGTCCCATTCTGTTAACAAAGCCGCCCCTGAAATTCCCACTGTGGAGATAGTGGCTGGCGTGGGTCTGACATCAATGGGACTCTGACGCTGTGATTTGTGCTAACAGGTCCGTCGATGCACCCCTCGGAGTTAATAGCGGAGATGCGAAACAGTGGGTTTGCCCTGAAAAAATGTGTCCTTGGTAGAAATTCTACTGTTTGTGATATATCGCAGGTAATTGTCTGTCTCACACTCCCTTCTTTGCACACATAGGATGATATATTCACACACACACATATATACTTTACCCTTCAGGGGGAAAAGGCCGACTACCTCTCTTATATGTCCTTAGAATATATGAATGCTGCCGAGAGGCCAGTTATTGAGGTAGCTTAAGTCAAGTAGACTAAATGATATGGATCAAATGTATTGTTTGATTTTCAAAAGGTTTTCGGCTGATGTACTCACTTAGAGATTTACAAAATGTGCCTTTGATAGTTATATTTATCTATATACGTTGATGTAAATGTGCTGTGTGCTTTTATAGGAATACGTTGCCAGTGAGGATGAGGAAGATCCCGAAGTGGCATTTCTTAAGTCATTGACAAAAAAGGAAAAACAAAAGCTCCTCAGGTAAAAACATTTAAAGCACATTTAAAAAAAAAAAAAATGTTTATTTATGAATGAACAAGATTATTAATATTTTTGTAACACTGTTTGAATATTTTTTGCCTAATTTATAGAATAAACTGAAGGAAAATAATGTTTCAAAACCATCTGATGAATTACTAGGTCACTGTTTTATATGGAGCGATAGAAATATAACTTTTGAATATTAGTATATTATCAACTGTCAAAAGTGAAAGGCATCTTTTTTTGCATTGTTGCATGGTTTCCTATTTGGATGAAGTGTTTTACATTCCTTCCAACTCAAATGTGTTTATTAGAATGTATTTTTGTTAATAATATTCGGTTACCTGCTGCCTTGTAGAAATCTTAATTGAACATTTGTGATCTTGTTTTACAGAAAACTTGATCGCCTGGACAAGGAGAAGGCGAAGAAAAAGAAGAGCAAGAAACAGAAGAAGAAGAGCAAGAGAAAACACAAAAAAAAAGGCTGAAAGTAGTGACAGCTCGAGTGACTCCTCCGATAGCAGCAGCAGTAGTGATAGTGACTCAGATTCAGACAGCCATGGCAAGTTCAAGAGCCAAAAGAAAAAGAAAAAAGATTCCTGTCGGGATAACAGCTCTAAGAGCGAGCGGCGAGTCAAGAGTCAGAAAAAGGCCTCCTCTCACAGAAGCAGGTCACCGAGCCCTCGCGCCGAACACAAGCGGCCTGAAGAGAAGTCGGGGAGATTATAGACAAACAAGGACAGAGAGCGGGAGTTGTAGTCTTATCCCAGAGAACAAGATCAAACAGGAGGGAGGTCAAGAGAGAAAGAGACACAACAGCAGGGACAGAGAGAGACCTAGCAGCTCTGCCGTGGACAGAAGCAGGAGCGGCGAGAGAGGCAGGGAGGAGAGAGGGAGAGACGGGCGTCACAGCAGAGATGTTGAGAGGAACAGAAGCAGCCCAGATGGAAGGAGAGGCAGAACAGCAGATGGGAGGAGCAGAAGCAGGGAGAGGAGGAAGGAAAGGGATGGCATGGGGGAAAGCAGGAGTAGGGAGAGAAGCCAAGACAGAGCCAAAACAAGGCACTGACTGTTAGCTGTGTTCCTCTCTTACAATATTGGACAAAATATGTTGAATCCCCTTTTGTGATGACTCTGATTACTGAGAACGCTATAACTGTCTCTCTATTTCAATTGCAGATATTGTTCAGTAGGTTTTCCTTTTTTCTCCAGTAGAGGGAAGCAGTGGACAGATAATATCCAGATGCAGCTCGTTGCGCCCTTGTGTTGTTTGGAAGAGTCTAGATTAATTGATAACCATTGCAAGCAATTTGCAGCTATGATCCTTTGATGGAAAAATGTTAGACTCATTTTAATGGTCAGTTGGCCACCGGAAGACCATTTTCTGCGATGCAGCTTTTTTATATATTGCATTCATTATTGTGTCGTTTGGGGAAATATCGTCATTGTAAGATGTAAAGCTTGGACGGCTGTTGATTCCGGAGAAAAAAGTCTCGATATTTTATTTTCTGATTAAATTTTAAATTCTCTCCAAAATGGGTTTGTTTTGCGATGGATGAAAGAAAAACCATCATTTAGTAGGCCTACTGTTAGTGTATTCCCACTAAATACTAACATGCCTTTAGGTCCGGGCACCTGAAGATAAAATATTACTATTAGGCTATAATCAGAAACTAATTACAATGTTTATTTATTTGTATTGTTTGTTTTTTTTTGGCCCATTTCCCTGAATGATATGACACCATTTGTGTTTTTCATAAAGATATATATTTCCTGTTGGTTTTTTGCAGGCTTCAACAACAAATATTATTTATATCTAAATGTCAAGCGTAAATTCAGCAAACGAAACAGCAGCTGCACTAGCCTGTATTTGTTTTATTAATGCACATCTGTATTTAGCATTTAAATACATGTTTTAAACTGTGTACATTTATTTTTAACAATTATTATTTTAATTAAATGTGACAAAAAAAGTTTAACCTGTTATTTGATGTCCTAAAATTACACATTTAATTTGAGACAAAATACATTTTGTAAAATAAAACATGGCAACAATTAAATTATTTATCTCAGATTTACTTTTTTTGCATGTGATGCAAGAAGCTTTAATTTCCCAAAAAATCTCAAGTGTTGCGTTTAGCTTTTTTTGTTGTTGATGAAATTCAGATTGTGCATTTAATTTGCTAGTTTTCACGATGTGGCCGTTTCCTTAGCGCCGCTGTGGCACAAAGGGGAAATTGAAATAATTTCCCTCTATTGCCTTCTGGTCAATTTAACATCCTCTTTAAAAAAAAGAGGGTGTCTGGATGAGATGCTGCTCCCTGACGTATTCCCTGTCCTGGACCCACGCTTTAATTATTCCCCGGGTTTTCTTTGAGAGTCGGACGCTGCACTGGGTAAGCACAAAGAAGTCAGAGAGCATCCTTGAACCCTTTCAACACGGGGCCACTGATATTCAAATACCGTGCAGGCACCATTTGACTGTTCTGAGCAAAGAGCATTTTAAATTCAAACATTTGCATGTGACTCTTTGCCCCTTCTTTTTCTAAAGTTTAAAAACTGTTCCCATAACATCTATGTGGCTCCTGGCAAAGAGAAAGACGCCGTATCCGTATTATCGGTCCACCGATTGGTATGCAAATGAAAGCAGTTAATTTGGACAATTAGAATAAATATTCAGGGCCCTTTGTCGTCAAACCCCCTCGGAAACCCCCCGATAAAGTGAAAGTGAACAAAAGATGTCTCGGAGATTAATTAGATATTTGATAAGACACGAATCCCTAATCGCAAATACAAGACGCATGGGGCTGCGATGTGCTCCAAGTCATAATTAATACCATTTAACAAGGTTTTCATTTGGGCATGAAATGTTTTTTTCCGGGGCATTAAACATTGATTTATTCCATAGGGGAAATAGTGAAAGTCAAGGTGTTATAGGTGATATTTAGAGTAATAGTAAACGAGCAACACGCACGTTTAAAGATAAAATTCAAAATTGAATAAACATTTTTTTTAGCTAAAACCCTCTCAAGAATAATTAAACAAAAATATATAAAATGTACATCACACAATTTCAGCCTTTTTTAAAGATGTTTTAATTACGATAAAATGAAAGTCATATACGTGTGACTTTATACAGGTAAACATTTATATATAGATATTTTTTTAGCAAAGAAATAAAATGGTTAACCAAAGTTGAAAAAGCTGTGTACATACATATCCACAAAGTGCGTCGAAAGTAAACTCCCTGATTTCCAGGATACCAACACGAATAAAACAATCATAGCCTAACATTTACATGAAAATAACAAATAGTTTAGTCGTCAATATACAAGGTGTAACTCACATTGTCCAACCAAAATTCAACAGGTTTCGCTCACCCTTACCCAAACATCCATTTCGTTTTCAAGTTGCCCCTAAAAATCCCCAAAGGCCTACAGTAAAGCACTGTTTTCTTTTGATGGGTTTACGAATGAAACGTCTGTGGAGAATATATGTTTTTGACTTTGCAATCTCCTCTTGGAATATTTTCTCCTTTTTATTGTCTTTCAAATAAGACCCGTTTTTCTATGCTGTGCATTTTTTAATCTGTTTTTTGTTGTTGTTGGATGAAGCCTCATTAGGGCTCGTCGTGAGGAGACTCATGGTCCTTAACATTGATTCTGGGATTCACCCCCTCCATTATAAGTTCTGGGGACTCGGACCTCGGGGTCTCCAGGTTACTGGTGTCGGTGTCACTGTCGCTTCCCTTTTTGCTTCCACCACCGGCCGTGTGCGTTTTGATGTGCTTGCTCAAATGGTCACTCCGCATAAAGCGCTTGTTGCACACCGGGCAAGAAAACCTTTTCTCTCCGGTGTGTGTGCGGAGGTGTCTTTGGAGCTCATCGGACCGAGTGAACCTTTTGCCACAGAAAAGCCAGTTGCAGACAAAAGGCCGCTCACCGGTGTGCCATCTCAAATGCGCTTTGAGGTGAGACGTCTTACCGTACACTTTACCGCAGCCGGGAATGTGGCAGCTGTGGAGTCCCTTTCTGCGCAGGCTGGCCCCGGCGGGTCCCAGCCGCTCAGCCTCCTGGCAGTTCGGACAGTCACATGTTGCTCTGCCGGAGTACCGCCGGGACGACCTTGAGGAGCTACTTATTCCTGAACTGCCCCAGAAATCATGGCGTTGGCAGCAGCAGCGTCTGTGTAAGTGGGGATGACAGTTTTGAACCCGTCCTGAGTTAACAGGTGCTGCCCGGTGGACAGGAGGTGGGACGCGGTGGGGCTGATTCCTGTGGAGCTGAACGCTGAGTGGGTCAGCGAGGAGAAGTCCGGGTTGTAGCCACTCAGCTGGGAGTGGATGCTTTGAGGTGCCCCGGTGTGCAGTGAGGTCTGGAGGGTGCCGGCAGGATTCTGGACATCAAGCCACGACCCAGGGTTAGTGTGTACGTCCCACCACGAGGACGCACCGTTGGCAACTTCGCCAGAGATGGTCGAGTGGAAACCGGACTTGTACCAAGACTCATACGGGTGCGCCATCCCCACCCGAGGGTAAAGAGACTCTGCTGATGTGTGGACTTTGGAGATAAAAGCTGACTGTCCAGAATCTTGGGATGAGACGCTCGCAGAGTTGGAGAACAGACCGCTGTACTCTGTGGAAAAGGCAGAGGAGGTTGGGGAGGTGGAGGCAAAGCAGAAGGCGCTGTTGCCTGCGCCACTGCTCGCTGTTAGTCCTGACGGCGCGCGGCTTGTTGCTACTGTGAAACCGGGCAGACTGGATCCCAAGTTGCAGCTGGAGGAGGATCTCTTCCACGGATGAAATCCACCTTTTGAGAAAGCGCTCGAGTCAGGTAAAGTTGTAAGAGGACTGGTGTTACCAATTTTGTTGCAAGTTGCAGCCAGCATTGCTAGAGGCGTAGTTCCAAACCGTGGCTCTTCCTGAAAACACACACACAAGTTGGACTTAAAACGGGCAACAACATTGAAATATATAAATGTTTTTCTATTCAACCCGAATATCTTTAGCAGATGACTTATTACAAACAAATAAGACTTTAGTTAAATAAATAATAACAACATCTAAAAAGAATAGTTGGAGCTAAGTTAAATGTTTTGGAGCGAGAGGAGAATCGTTTTTTAAAAATCCATACATAAAACACAGGCTAACGTTCAAGAAATAATTATTTATATTTTTTTTAAACTTTAAACTTTCTCAGTATACTAACTCTGTCAGATATCTGCTGTGAATATACACACATATAACATAATAAAACACAATCCTACACGTCTTTATCGGCATGTAACTATTTTTTAATAATAATTAACGAGTTAGTAACACAGTTGGAGATCATTAGTGCAAACTTGAAAGCAAGCATGTTTATGTAAGCAGCAAGCACTTTCAGTTGCAGAAGAGTAGTCTACAATAACTTTACGCACAACCTTTGCGCACAAATACAAAGTCAGACTCACCCCAAGTATAGACGTTGCCATATCCAGGGTCTGTGCTGTGATGAGAGTGTTCGCGATTTCAATGCTGTAAGGCTCCAATTTGTTTCAGACTCACCGTGTTTGACTCAGGTCACACGGTTTCTCTCTTGGCTCGCAGCTCCCAACACTACCTAGTTGTAGAGAGCGTGTTCTTTGAAGTACAGCTGGCAAAGACTCACAGCCAATCGTAGCACAGCATTCATGGCTGGGGATGAAGGCAGCCAATCAGAGACTCGACCGCGGACAGAAACACCAAAAACCCCGCCGTCAATCATCTGTTGTGCAGCCTCTGCTCAGACTGTCATACAAGACACGATTTTTTGTTTTGTTTGTTATGCATACAGTTATTTTTATGTATTCTCACGAAGGCTCAATGTCTCCTTTCATTGCAGAATTGAGTTCACACGTCAGTTCTCCAAAAGGTAAGCGTTTCACTTATTTTAAAGCATGTGTAGGTTGTGGTGACACTGTATTCTTCCAGGTTTCCCGTCTGATTTTCAATATTCAGATCATGCGCAACACGTCATTGAGAAAGTGCTGCTATTTAAGCACATAGTATCCTGAACAATGTGAGAGACGCTGGCGTTGCTGATGACTTTATCAGAACAGAGTGTGTAGACATGCTGCAGTGTGTTGGGCACGGCACAGTCAATGCTCGGGTGTAAACAAATAGCCTACTGTTATATAGCTTAAACCACAGGTGCTCGTGTTCGTATTGCAAAATCACAGGAGAAGTTTAGTGAAGATGTCCAGAAACAGGCCGGAAACAGCAGGGATATTTCCTCCAAACGCCTGGGGATCATTTATGAACCGACTGAATGAAACGTATTGTCTGAACACACGAAGGAAAATAACCTAATCACTCGTAATGGATCAACAACCATGTGTTTACTTCCAGACACAATTATTTGCGCGTCTGTGCTCGTGCGTGTGTTCGTGCCGTGCGCGCATCCCCCTCCCTGCTTCCTTGTTGGGCAGTTCAGGTGAAGGGTTAATTACAAATGACAGCTTGCTTGATCATGTGTTTTTAACTCAACGACAATTATTTTAAAAGAGGGAAAAGTTTC